GATGATGATGATGATGATGATGATGATGAAGCAGGTATTAACAGCTGCAGTCTCAGGAGCAGTCACATCCGCTTTTAAAATAAAGATACTAAAACTGAACATTTGAACCTGAAGTGCAGCAGAAGTACTTACATGATGATACACAGTTGGGGCAGCTGCTTCTGTCTTAGAGCTGTCTTTTTTACAGCATTTCTTACAGCAACAGCAGCAGCAAATTCCCAAAGCGACAACCCCACAGCAGACAGCAACATATGTAATGATTGCATGATTGCTTACTATAGGAACACAAAAATATGAAAGGAAAAATTAACTCAGAAACATCAATGATTTTTTTAAATTAATTTATTTTTTTTGGTAAACATAAATAAAAATTTGTTGTCTCACCTGTCTCTCCTTGTCTCACCTTGAGCTTAACAGCCAAGGCCAGGTTGCCTTTTGAGTCTCTGAACTCAAAGGTACCAGAGTCTTTCAATTCCACATTCTCAATTTCAATGCCGTTTTCCTCACGACTGATTCTCCGAGTGAATCTGTGAAACCCATAAACCAATCGGCCACCATTCATCAAAGTCTCAGAATGATCACTCTCCTCAGGCTTAAAAATCACAGTCCATGGTCCTCCCAACGGAGGATATGAAATGACGAGGGGCTCACTTTCATTCCGCTCAAAGTGAAGGATGTTTTCTGCAGTTGACAGATTAGATTGCGAATTAACATGTAATCAGTGCACGGACTACAAAACAAAATCTCACACGGTCATTCTTTCAAGCTCCCAGCCATTACCTTTAACCTTTAGAAGAACCCTTGACCTCACAGTTTTGTTGTGGAGCCTGAAGTTATAGAAGCCGTTGTCTTCCTGGGTGAGGTGGGAGATCTTCCACACGCTGTTTGTGACGCTTCCTCTCCTTCTATCGCTGCTCAGAGGGTCGGTGTGATTCCACAGGGTTATGGGCTCGTCCAGACCGTCCTGTGGAATGTAGTCCAGGAGCACAGCGTCTGCTGGAACGTCGCGCTCCAGCGACGCCGCGTAGAACATAAAAACTGTTTCAGCGCAGTCTGAAAATGTGAATTAAATAACAAAGGGCTGGAGTAATAAGCAAAGGATTTTTTTTTTCTAAGAAAATTCAGAGGTTTTGTCAATTTTTCCACATCTAAATCTGTAATTTGTTAATTTTGAAATTTTACATAAGCAGATATTGGTTTAATTTGAAGGTAGGTGGGATCATTTGTGGCAAATTGGCCAGTCAAAACCAGTTATAGCTCTGTCTAAGGTGTGATACATCCAGTTTACCCCTTTCAGAATAAAAGCATTGCTTTGACTGAGTTAGAATTTTTATAAATACTGTTTGAAGTTAGTCAAACAACAAAAAGCAAATACTTGTTTATTTCCATGTTTTTACTAAGCCAATTTTTGTATTTGTTATTTAAATATTGTTAAATGTCTTTTTTAAAGCTCCTTCTTTGAATATTATCTGCTAAAGATGCTACATGCTACACATGATGCCTGACACGTACAGCACTGCTTGTAAGAGGGAACAGATTTGATTTAATTTTGGGATAATCGTCATATAAGTAGAAGTTTTACACTTGTGAATATTTTAGTGGACCTAAAATAAGTGGAACATAATTTATCAGAAGCTAATTGGTTTGTTAACAGCTTTCAAAGTTAGAAAAAAAAGCTAATCATCTAAATAAGAACATAGTTCCGATATTAGCAGATAACACTTAAGTATTTAAAACAACTGTGAGTCTTGACCACATGACAATGTGATCCACTGTAGCAGCAACAGGCAAGAGTGTGGCTTTACCATTACTGTACATGCTGGCAACATAGTAAAAAAAGGACTGATGATAAATCATAAAAACTATTAATGATAATATTAACAACATTTTAGAGTGTATAAAASCTTTCTAATGTATAAAAATGTCAAAAAGCTGTGTGTTATGAATGTACCAACAGAATAGAAACATAAAAATGTCTCTTTTCACAAATAAGCAGATTTAATCTTATTTACCTCAATGTGGATGTGACCTGAACAGAACTGAAGGTAATAAATAATAAAACAGTTTAAAATTAAAACAAGCTGATGTATTCACTGTAAATTACTGAACTGATTAGCAGACATTAGCTTCTGTAGCATATATTGTTATTCAATGTGTAGCACTCTGCTGATGCATGCAACAATTTAGAACATTTTATTTAATTTTACAAGCTGATTTTGCCTCTGATTTATATTGTACTTACACAGTGTATAATATTATTATATGTTTGACTATTTTAAAATTTCTATTACACAAGAAGATNCATCATAGAAAATAGAGAAAACTGACAGGTTGAAAACTATGACCCAAACAGAATATAAAGATATTTATGCAGAACCAGGAGAGACTTGATTCAACTTTCATGCACTCCTAGAGACTCCAAGTGCACAACAAAATGTATTTTTTAATGTCAGGTTCTCAAAACCACATTTATATTAAAGTTACTGGTGGCTCCGTGCAGAAAGCAGGAGGTCCATTACAGACTGTGGGACTTACTGGCTGTTGAGGGTAAGCTGAAGGATACACTGGACCAGAGCAAGTTGGGACTGTTGGAGGCGGATCCTGGAATAATAATAACAATAATAATAATGAAGCAGGTATTAACATCTGCAGTCTCAGGAGCAGTCACATCCGCTTTTAAAATAAAGATACTAAAACTGAACATTTGAACCTGAAGTGCAGCAGAAGTACTTACATGATCACACACAGTTGGGGCAGCTGCTTCTGTGTCTGGTGTAGAACTGTCTTTTTTACAGCATTTCTTACAGCAACAGCAGCAGAAAATTCCAAAAGCGACAATCGAACAGCTGACAGTAACATATGTAATGATTGTATGATGGCTTCCTATAGGAGCACATCAAGATAAAAGGTAAAATTAACTCAGAAACATCAATGATTTTTATTTTTGTAAACATAAATAAAAATTTGTTCTCTCRCCTGTGTTGGACTTGACAGCCAAGGCCGTGTGATTCCACGGGGTTATGGKCTCGTCCAGACCATCCTGTGGAATGTAGTCCAGGAGCACAGTGTCTGCTGGAACGTCGCGCTCCAGCGACTCCACATAGAACACAGTGATTGTTTCAGCGCAGTCTGAAAATGTGAATTAGAAAAAGGGTTAGAGTAATAAACAAAGAAGTTTTTTTCTAAGAAAATTCAGAGGTTCCAGGTTGGCTGACACCTGGCTCCAATTAGCTCTTCGAAAAGTCATTTCCCTACGGGTTCACATACTTTTTCCACCCTGCACTGTGGATGTTTACACGTGTTCAACAAAACCAGGCAAACATATAATTTTTTGTGTGGTATAAGTTCAAGCAGACTGTGTTTGTCTATTGTTGTGACTTTGATGAAAATCAGAAAACATTTAATGATCAATTTATGCAGAAATCCAAGAAATCCCAAAGGGTTCACATACTTTCTCATGCAACTGTATACAAATAGAGTGAATCAAGTTAGGTATAAATAAAAAGGGTATAAAATGAGCAACTACTGAAAGGCAAGTCACTTACAATTATAGAAATATTTCATTCTTCCCAAGACTTCACAACTTTTCTAGAAATGAGACCCAAGTACTTCTGTAAAACAATTATGAAATCTCAAGTTAATTAACTTTTAAGAGTGATGCACTCACCCAAGATTTGCAACATCAACACATTCTTGAATCTGTTGCCGTCTGACGATACGCCAAAAGTTCCTTCATCTCTATTAGTTAAACTCATGAGCCAAAATGAATCAGAGTCAATTCTGATGCGTGGGTCAACGGGCTGCAGGGCGAAATGCACAAATTCAAATAAATCAGGTGGAAAAATACATTCTATTGAGTCAATGGAACAGGACGGGTCATTATTTTGTCATAATAAAGCAGCAGAAGGGCATAGAAACACAAAGACTTTATATCAACGTGACACTTCAAACCAGACTGACCGTAAGAGTATGACCATCAATAATATACATGTACAATTTATAATTAAATACAAAATTGTTGCTTAAAAAACTACAAAAGGCATAATTCAGTAAGTCTGCATATTAAATGCCAACATTCCCAGATAATTAAACATGACTAGAATATTTGTTTCCTTCTGTTAAGACAAAGTGGTTAAAACTAATTCCTGATAACTACAAGGTGCTTCACAAATGATTGTAAAAGGCATTGATTCTATAAAAATACATTTCCTTTAATAAACTTGTTTTGTTTGAGAGCTTGTATCTTATTCCAGTCTCATTTTATGAATACAGAACCTTTTTATGAATGAGGTTTTTGCTCACACAAAGATGCAGTATTAATATTGAAGTCAGAATCATTGCTCACCGTTCCTTTATCTATCAATAACTTCTTGGGACTACCATGGCTTGGAGTGAAATACACCAGGTCACTGGACTGAGGTGGGAAATATTTAGATGGAAGCTTATAACTGTGACCATAGCAAACCTTGGCACGCAGTAAACCTGAGGCAAAACCTGAGAGAGAGAGAGAGAGAGAGAGAGAGAGAGAGAGAGAGAGAGAGAGAGAGAGAGAGAGAGAGAGAGAGAGAGA